AGATAGACAGACAGACCGACGGACGGACGGACGGACGGACCGACGGACAGACGGACAGACGGACAGACCGACAGACAGGCGCACGCACACGCGCGCACACACACACACACACGCGCACACACACACACACCCGCGCGCGCACAAACATGCCCTCACGGCGCTGCAGCTCACTCCAGGAAGGCCCAAAGTTCTCCGGCGAGCCTTCTTGGGAGTCTTGGCACTGCCCTGCCATAGAGTGCCCATGCCCCATGTTTTCGGATCTTTGGTGGGCTGGTGTTGGTGTTCATATTCAACTTCAGCGGCAGGGCTTTGAGTAGGAACGTAGTAAACAACGATTGCTGACAGCTCACTTGAATAAATAGGCCGAGTTAGACATTTAGGCTTCTTCCACAGCTTCTTCCGGTCTCAGCAAATTTGTGAGAGTTGTGTCCAGGAATGGCCGAGTGTTCAAGAATCGAAAGAGAAGCACCATCACGAAGGCCTGGCAGCCCGCGGCCGGAGCAGTCAGTTTCGGATTTTGCGGTGAGGAACGGAATTGGCCTGGTGTTTTCCAAGCCTCACTTTGTCAACTTATGACCTGGTTTTTGTGCTTGTGCCGAAGGGCGATGGCGAGATTCATGCAAGATTTCAGAAGAAGCTCCTGTTGCGAAGGCTCGAGCCACCACGTCGCGACGGAGAGGCCGAGGGCACCGCATGGTGTTAAGTAGGTTGGCCTTCGGAGCCTGCAGAAGTTATGTTCCCCGCTTTCATATTTTCAACCTCGAAGAGGGCCTCGAGTTCCATCTTTCTGGATTTGGGCCCCTGTCACGCCTGTTGCGCACTACTGAAACGGATCTTAAAGCCAAAACTTCGTATCGACGCCACGAAGATTCCCGTAAGGACATGTGCAGGCCTCCTATGTTTTTACCAAGCGAGGGGATGCGGAAACAGAGCCCGTCTGTGCTCGTGCGGTTACCCAGCTGTGATGCGACTCCAATAGAAATTCGCAATCGGATCAGGCACTTGTGGTTGCTCGCCGTTTAGCCAGCTTACAAGTCTGGCAAGAGCCACGAAATCCAGTCTACCCATGCCGTGAGATGCCGTGAGCATCACTTAGTTGCGGCCTTCACAACTGTTTCGCATGCTGCCTGTGCAGGAAGCGAAGTTGTGCCTACAACGTCGTACCGGTGCAGGCAATCTTTTTAGAGCTTCTGTAATTAGGGTTTACTACTTCCCAACTTTTGCAGCTGAAAGGCGTCGCGAGCAAGCAGGTTGAGATGGTGCTCGAAGGTAAAGCTTTCTTGCATGTGTGTACCTTGTAAGTGAAAGTGAGAAAACAGTTAGCAGTTGCCTGGGTTCGTCGTTGCATTTCGCGGAAAGATCCGAATGATACAAAAAGCAGTGGAAGGGAGCCTTAGCGAGACAGAGAGAAAAAAGATCTTCTTGTCTTCGCATAGCAGCCAGACGCGGGCCTATATGCTGCACACTATCTGTAGTATTCACGGGTTTGAACGACAGATTTCTCAAGTCGTGTGCGAACCCAACATCACCCAAGCAGTGGATCGTTCATGGGTCTTTCAAGGAATCAACGGTCGAATAAAATAATCGAACCATTCGAAGTCGTCCTCCATCTGCAAACCCGGTGGTATAGGAGTGCGAGAGCCATGCGTGGTTGGTGCGTTCAATTGAAGACTGTCGCTTTTTCCGCTGGTGCGAGGCACTTATCGAACTCCTCTTGGCACAGGAAGGAGACATCCAGAAGAAAATATTTGGTTCAAGGATTTTGCAACAGTTTAGGGCAGCTTGGACAGCAGTTGAAGGTCGCGCATCTACCTGGCAGACAATTCTGCAGCGGCTTTTTGCCTGTTCATAGCATAGCTCATTCGTTCCTAACTTGTTTTCAACAAACGTACAAGTCTACTGGCAAAAGGCATGTCAAGTTTTTGTTTAGGGCCAGTCTGTTCTTTTCGGGGTGAGTTGGGTTTAAGGCCATCAGGGAGATCCTGCTCGCAAGTGACACGCTCTTTGGCCGGCAACAGTGTAGAGAGATACTGGCTAGACAGAGTAGACAAAACCGAGATGGTGAAGCCGAAGCGTGGCCTCATCCTTGGCTCAGCAACCCTCAGCCCTCAGCATATTCAGACACATATGAAGATTCTCCGCGTGCCACCTTCCTTGAGCATCGAATGCTCTCTGACAGCTCGAGGAATCGATTGGTTGCAGAGCTGACATTTGTTCGCATTAACGACCTGGCTGCTCCTCCGGAAAATGCCCCGTGGCAAAACCACCACGTGTTGCTTCGCTCGGTTTCGGTGTGTTGTCGATTGAGTTAAACGTCTCGTCGACAATGGGCTGTCAGACAGCAAGACTTCCATGGAATTTTGCTGCATCATCGAGCACGGAGCTTTTCATCGAGCTATAGGGTGGAGATGCCTTACCAGTACTGGGGTGCCACGCAGGCACACGCATCTCTGCGATCGAAACCGTCTACTAGAGAGCGAGTGCCGTCCCGCTTTTCGATGCGAATGTAGATCGATCTTATTATAGCCACGATGATTCAATGATTGACTTGATATGTGCATCATGTACCTGCCTGTCTAACTGTTTAACTACCAACCAGCATCGCATTCAAACTATTCATTCGCCTGCCTAGTACATGTACTTTGTTCATATGCATATGTATATATACATCCACATGAAAGATTTTTGCCGGCATTGTATTAAATGCCATACTTCAAATTCGTTTTCACAGCGGGTAGTACGGCTTAGCTGACCCGTCACGTTGTCTTCTTCCGATGCATGCCAGGACAAGGAGCGGTACGGAGCTCTTTCCACACCGCTTGATGGTCATCCCTTATTGTGGAGAGAAACGAATTAAAGAAACAACGGCAAGTCACCTTATGGGCGGCGGCGAATTGAAGGCCCCGTCCCCACCAGGACCACGAGGGCCCAACCAGATCCATGTGACATGTGATGCGATTGCCTACCTTGACATGGCAAGTCAAGAATCAATATCTGTACCAGTTGTTGACCCTCTGTGTATGTGAGCGCTGTAGCTCGTCGCGACAATTGTGTCCCAATGATGTTTTGACCCTCCTAAAAAACGGAGGTTTGATCTGGAAATCTATTTCCCGGTGGCGCACTTTTCTCACGCATCGTAGTTTCTTCTTGTGCCGCATTGACAGGCAGGGTGATCGGCGACAGTGCCAGCCAGACCGTCCATGCAGACAACGACGCTTTGACTTGCCCTTCTCAGGTGAACTTCTTGATGTACTTGGAGCCTTTCGTTGGCTTTCTGATCTTGGCCAACGGTATCCTGATCGGCTTGCAGACTGATCCGCAGCTCAGCCGAAAAGATGAGAGGGCAAGGATGTCTGTGTTACGTCTGCTAAGTAAATATCGAGTCCCTGCAGCCCCTCACCTGAAATCACTGTGCTCGTACTCTGTGGCAGAGCTAACGAAGTATGACCCTAAAGCAATGCACCCTTGTGTGGTCGCGTCTATGGTTGCACCAGCTTGATTGTTTTGAATTTCCTGATGCACCGAGCATTAGACGGCGAATCGTGGCCACTGCGTCACCGGTCCTTACAGAAATCTACTTCACGGGGCTCTTGGTTGTTCGCCAGGACATTCGAGGACTGGCCGCACTGGGTCTACGTTGAGATGGTCTTCAATTTCTTCCTGGTCTTAGAGGTCATGCTACGCCTTTGCAGCTTGAACCGATTGCTTGGTTCGTGTTTTCAGAGCAGCAACTCTAGGGCCTATGGTGCAGCGCATCAGGATTGTTCACGTGTCCTTTGTGCCATCGGCTATCCAGTTGTGGATATGGCCGAGATGGATGTTGGGTTCAGATGGCTTTGCCAGGCTTGTCCGGCGTGCAGGCCAAGACCATCCGCAATCACTCTATCGGTGCTGCCACATATAATATAAGACTTTATCAATGTCCACCCTGCCACTGGGAACAGTACAACGCAAAGCCTAGGCTGAGACTGAGGCCTTTAGAGCAAAACGAGATAGCCAAAAGAAGCGCCCATGCTGGTTTACCTGGTCTGAGTACAAGGTGCTTACTTAGGTCGTCGAAAGGGAGCGAAGGGAAAACACAACCGTCCGGAGTTTGGATTTAGACTGCGAATGCTCACGTTGGAATTGCCAGAAAACCTGTCAGCCTGGAAGAAGACCTCTCTTATTCAGGTATTGAAGGATGCCGCGATTTCTGGTGTGGAGTGGAAAGAATCTTGGATAGCTTTGGTTCCATAAATTGAAACGGCAGCCGCAAAGATGTCGAAACTTTTAGTCGCGGAAGTCATGGAGTCTTCGATCGCACAAGCGTCTTCAGAAGAGGAACTTGTTTCAGTACTGCTTGAGCCTCGAGCTCTCGCACCTGCCGAAGAAATAGCAGCGCTGGACCTCATTGAACAGAGTCAGAAGCGGATGCTGTCATGGAGTCAGACGACCGGATTGCTGTCTGCCTGCGTTCGTTCGAATTCATAACATGCAAAGCAGGCCCAGCCCCGACCTGCGCTGTGCGCTCAGCTCCAAGCCGTTTCGCGGGTTCGGAGTGACGGCTGCGATCGCAAAAATTATCAGACATGGTTGACCAAGCCGCCACTTGGATCGGCTGCTCTGCAATGACAAGTGTCATGTTCTGTCTCTCTCTCTCTCTCTATATATATATATATCTATCTCTCTCTCTCTCTCTCTCTTTGCACGCTTTCTTCCTCGTGTGTGCTGAACATGTGTGTCTCATTCTTATACGAGGTTTGTACGGATTATCTTTCTATACGTAAAATACAACTATTATAATAGATATGTTTGTGTAATCATGTGTGTATATATATATATATTATTTGTCTCTCTCCCTCTCCCTCTCTTTTTCTCTCTCGCCCATGAAGGAGTAACTGAACTTTGGTGTGAAGCTGCATTTTCTTTAGCTTGTTTACTGAGTTCTAGATAGCAAGACCTACGTACCGGCACGAAACCTGAACCGGCACGCTGACATCATTACGAACCAGTAGCAGGCGAAGTTCAATCCCAAGTCTTGCTCGTGATGCCAGAGCTACACCTAGACACCGGCATCATTATGCTCCCCCTACCATCGCAGCCATCATCAACATCACCACGCCCATCGTCTTTGTCGCCCAACCCAGCGACTCGTCGTGGTCAGCGTCGTCACCATCGCCACATCGAAACCATCATCGTCATTTCCACTTCGTGATTATGATCTCTTTCTCGTCATCGGAAGAAAATCCGCTGCCATGCCATACCGTAATCAGTATTGTTACATCTGCCTTTATTTTCTCCTATGAGGGTAATCGCGTGTATCACGAACAAAAGCAGAGTCGCAGAACATCTCGAAGACACAGTCCGGTGTTGCGCATGGCCAATTTCGTCGTCAGGAACTTGGAATTGGTTCGACATGGTCCTGATGTGCACAGGCATTGTCGACACTTCTCTCGGTTTGCTCTGGCAGCTTGACAAATGCATCGAAGCATTCAGATTGCCCGGGTCTACTTTAAGGAGATTCGTTATGGCATTAGCTGCTCATTGTCTCCTGACTTGGCCAAACTCTCTCCCCTCCAGGTCTGCCCAAATCATTTGTCAGTGGTCTTTCCCAGGATGACAGATTGCACGTGTCGGCATGTATGTATGTAGGTATGTATGTATGTTCGTATGTATGTATGTATGTATGTATGTACGTATGTATACATGTAGATTTATAAGATGTTTCATTGGTATGTTACATGTATGTGTTCCGTCTGTCTGTGTGGCTTTCCGCCTGTCTGTTTGTCTGTCTGTATGCTTTCCAGTCTGCATGCGTAGACGTATGTATGCATGCTGCATGCACTCATGCATGTATGAACTCATGCATACATGCATACATACATAAACACATACACAAAGATATTGCACGGATACATACCCGTATGGCGGCCTTTGTCCGCCTTTTTGCATGTTTGCATGTATGTACTTGCGCGTGTGTGTGTGTGTGTGGGTGCGTGCTAGTTAGTTGGTTAGCTAGTTAGCTAGTTAGCTAGTTAGCTAGTTGGTTAGCTAGTTAGTTAGTTAGTTAGTTAGTTACTTTGTTTGTTTGTTTGTTTGTCAGCTAGTTAGTTAGTTAGTTAGTTAGTTGGTTAGTTTGTTTGTTCGTTTGTTTGTTTGTGTTTCATGTGTGTGTGTGTTTGTATGTGTGCCTGTTTTGGTGCATGCGTGTGTTTCCGTGCTTGTGGCTCACAGCAGAGCCAAAGCCAAGGTCCACTTCAGAGATTGAAGCTATCGAAGGAGCATCTCTGCTTAGATTCTGCCGACTGCTGCGGCTTGCGCGAATTGTGCGGCTAACCTGCACTGGAAGCCCCCGACAGACATCGTTGCAACTGCTGTCAAAGGCAACCACCGCCATTGAACAACAAGCTTGTTCTCCGGAAGGCTTTCGTAGATAGGATGCCAGTCGATAGTGCAAGTGTAACATCCATCGCGATGCCCTCCAGCATTCCAGGAATCCATCGCAGCAGCAAGCAGGCACAAGCATGAGGCTTTGAGAAGCTTTTCATCTGCGGCCCCATCTGTGATTTACGATTTCGTTGAATGTGCGCTCGAAGTCTTACGCGCTGAAGAGCGGCATTCCGACAGACGAGGCTTCATGTCTCAAAACTGAGGAAGGTCTTCCGCTTGAAGTTGATGACACCCGGCATGATGTGGGCAAGTGGCTTGAGCCAGGCTGGCTTACTTTGAATCGTGCTTGTATGCACCTGACATGTTCGAGTGACTGCTGTTCAACTCCGCCACGTTTGTTGCCTCTACCAGTTCATTTGAACTGGTAGTGCGTCTGTGCAATGGTCTCGTCATAAGTCCATCGCTTCACACATTCGTACACATGTATTTACACACCCCGTGTGCAATGTTACAGTTTCCGATGCCAAGGAAAGACTTGCGGCTTATGGTCAAAGGACTCATCGCAGGGATTTGGACCCTGTCTCTTGCCTTTGTGCTGCTTTTCGCTGTGCTGCAGCACGGCAGCATGTATAGTTTGCTAGTAGCCAGCCATGCAGGGCTCTCAAGCTATCAACCTTGCATGGTAACCATTTGCAGACTGATGTGGGGGAGTGGGGGCTGTTCCCTTCGAAGCATCTGTGGTCCAATACATTGCGCTGACGGCCAACGCAAAAGTTTGCAGAGTGTGTTCGCTGTGTTCAGGGCTAGACTCTTGAATCCGCAACAGATCCTGTCCTCTTTCGAAGCCCTAACGTGGGCTCCTGTCTGGGCCCTGGGTAAGGTTGGCCTAGGCCCCTGGTCCTTTGGNNCCCCCCCCCCCCCCCCCGCCGGTCCCTGGTCCCTGGTCCTCCAGTCCCTGGTCATCTGGTCCTCTGGTCCTTTTGCTCCGTGGGTTGTTTGTTTTTTTCCTCCGTGCGGCTTGGCTCGGCCTGACCTCTAGGAAAAAATGATGTTGCTTGACTTGGCTTCGATAGGATTTAGAGGTAAGGCTTGAGGGTTTAGGAGTTTAGG